TGTCAAACAAAGTGCTCTGAAGTCCAAAATACTGGTCTGACAGGTGCTGTAGTTCTTTGTTTAGACCGTCAAAAAGAAATTAAGATAGTCCTGAGGGGAGCTTGGAGCAAAGCTAGACTTAGCTTCTCACCATTAGAAAAACATAGCCCAGGTGCACTGATCAGCTGTGACAGGAGATATCGCCTGAGATTGTGAAAGGGTTTCTATATTCTGAAGTCAATACCCTAGTGAACACGCAGATAGCTAAGTGCCAAGGGCACCAAAACTGAGCCTTAAACTGCTGACTCCACAACCTTTGTTTCAGGAGTTAAGTCATTGTGGCTATGAGGCCCAAAGTAGAAATCTTAAAAGTCCTGCTTCAGATATGATGTATGTAAGCATTTCAGTATTGTTGGAGAAATCACAAGAAATACAAGGAGAGAACTTCAACTTCTTCCCCCATCATACTAGAAGACTCCCACTGCTCATTCTCCTCCTCAGTACTTGTTCTAGGAGGCTGCTTTCCCTGACACTCGTGGCACTTTATAAATTTAAACAAAAATAAAAAACAAAAAAATCTAAAACCACAGCTGCTACTACTTATTTTATTTGCTTGAATAGACAGCATGACACAATTATTTTAAGCATAGTAGATAGAAGGCACTCTGGACTTGTGTGTTCCCTTCCATTATCTATTGCAAACTTTTCTCCCTTTACATACAATACATTTTATCAAACATTACATTTACTGAAAAATTTCATTCACACTACAAGCATACACAGTATTAAACTCTCAATCAGCCTGCACTGACATTCTAAATTTGACATGCAGTGTCGAGTTCTTGCAGTTTTTCTAACCTTACCATGCCAATACATGGCAGTGACATCTGTAATTTAGTAGAAACATTTTCCAAAACCTCCCTCCTTAGATAGCGTACTTAGTATTGTGAAAGAACCAGCTGATCTAACTTATTTATATTTTGATTCCTGCCTATACTTTGCATAAATATTTATTACCTTCATTTTTCTGCATTGTCAGAAGAAATATTGCTGCATTTTACTGAAAACAATGTTGTTCAAGCTGAATAAAAAGCTAATTAAACATGCAACAATTATTTCACATTATCTGTGATACATTTGATACAGTGTATAAACTTCATAAGAGAGTAAGAATGGCCATACTGGGTCAAACCATTGGTCCATCCAGTTGAGTATCTTGTCTTCTGCAGCAGTCAGTATCAGAGGTTTCAGAGGGAATGGACAGAACAAGGAAATCATTAAGTGATCAGTCCGATCGTCCAGTCCTAGCCTCTGGCAGTGAGAAGCTTATGGACAACCAGGGCATGAAGTTGTGTCCTGCACCATTTTAGCTAATAGCCACTGAAGGACCTATCCTCCCTGAACTTGTCTAATTCTTTATTGAACTCAGTCATTTTTTTGTCCTTCACAACATTCCCTCGCACAACGAATGCCATGGGTTAACTGTGCATTGTGTGAAGAAGTACTTCCTTATGTTTTTTGAAACCTGCTGTCATTGGGTGACACCTGGTTCTTGTGTTATGTGAAAGGCTAATGCTTGCCTATTCACTTTCTCCACACCATTCATGATTTTATAGACCTCGGTCATATCCCCCCTTAGTCATCTCTTTTTTAAGTGGAACAGCCTAGTCTTTTAAATCTCTTCTTATATGGACACTGTTCCATACCCCTCATCTTTATTTTTTAGACCCTTTCTGTACCTTTTCCAATTCTAATGCATCTTTTTAGAAATGGGGTGACCACAACTGCGTACAGTATTCAAGATGTGGGTGTAGCATGGATTTATGAAGTAGCATTATGATATTTTCTGTCGTCTTAGCTATACCTTCCTTAGTGGTTCCTACCATAGTTAGCTTTTTTGACTGCCATTGCACACTGAGCAGATGTTTTCAGAGAACTATACACACTGACTCTTGGATATCTTTGTTGAGTGGTAACTGCTAATTTTACCACATTTTGTATGTATACTTGGGGTTACATTTTCCAATGTGCATTACTTGCAGTTAACACTAAACTTCATCTGCCATTTTATTGCCCCGTCACCCAGTTTTGAGAGATCCCTTTGTAACTCTACACAGTCAGCTTGGACTTTACTATTGAGTAAAATTTTGCACTGTCTGCAAATTTGCCACCTCACTGCTTATCCTATTTTCCAGATCATTTATGAATAAGTTGGGGAACACTGATCCTAGTACAGATCCTTGGAGGATCCTGCTATTTACCACTTTCCATTGTGAAAACTGAACATTTATTCCTACTTTTTGTTTCCTAAATTTTAAACAGTTAATGATTTCTGAGAGGACTGTCCTTCCTATCCCACAACTGTATCCTTTGCTTGAGAACTTTTGGCATGGGACCTTGTCAAAGGCTTTCTGAAAGTCCAAGTACACTATACCCATTGGATCACATATGTTTGTTGACCCCGCTACAAATTTTAATAAATTGGTGAGCCATGATTTCCCTTTACAAAAGCAATGTTGACTCTTCCTCAAAACACCATGTTCATTTAGGTGTGTCTGATCATTGTTCTTTATTATAGTTTCAACCAGTTTGTCTGGTACTGAAGTTAGGCTTATCAGCCTGTAATTGCCAGGATTGCCTCTGGAACATTTAAAAATAAATAAATAAATAAAAATCAATCAATCAGCGTTACATTAGCTATCCTTCAGTTAGATGGTACAGAGGCTGATTTTAGTGATAGGCGAAGGTTTCTAACTATCAAAGGAGTGAAGTTTTGTAACAGCCTTCCAAGGAGAGCAGTGTACAGCAGAGCAAAAAGTCTAACTGGCTTTAAGATTGAGGTCGACAAATTTAAGGAGGGGACTGTATGATGCCTACAGTGGGACATAACTGATCCACAACTGTTAACAGCAAATATCTCCAACAGCCAGTGATAGGACACTAGATGAGGAAGTTTGAGTTACTACAGAGAATTCTTTCCTAAATGTCTGGCTGGTGGGTTTTGCCTGCATGCTCAGGGTCTAACTGATTGCCATATTTGGGGTTGGGAAGGAATTTTTTCCTGGATCAGATTGGCAGAGGCCCTGGGAGGTTTTAGATTTTGTGACCTGAAGTCTTTAAATCATTATTTGAGGAATTCAGTAACTTAGCCAGAGGTTAGGGGTCTATTACAGGAGTGGGCGGGTGAAGTTCTGTAGCTTGCAATGTGTAGGAGGTCAGACTAGATGTTCATGATGCTCCATTCTGACCTCAAAGTCAATGAGTCTATCTGGTTCTGATGACTCATTATTGTTTAATTTATGAATGTGTTCCAAACCCTCTACTGACACCTTAATCTGGTACGATTACTCATATTTGTCACCTAAAAAAAATTAAAAAAAAATAGCTGTGATGAGGCAATCTCCCGCACATCTTCTGCGGTCAAGACTTATGCAAAGAATTCATTCATGCTCCACAACGGCCTTAACTTCTTTAAGTGCTCCTTTGGCACTTTGATCATCATGGCCCCACTGATGGTTTGGCAGGCCTCCTGGTTCTGATGTACTTAAAAACATTGTTGCTGTTTATTTGTGTGTCTTTTACCAGTTGCTCTTCCAATTCTTTTTTGGTCTGCCTAATTATACTTTTACACTTGACTTGCCAGGGCTTATGCTTCTTCCTATTGTCCACAGAAGGAATTGACTTCCAGTTTTAAAAAAGATGACTTTTTGCCTCTAATCATCTCTTTTACTCTGTTTAGTCAGGGTGGCTTGGGGGGCGGGGGGACAGGGGGGAAGGGTTCTCTTGCTGTTTTTGTTTTTTTAAATTTGGAGTATATATTTAGTGTGAGCTTTTATTATGGTGTTCTTAAAAAGTTTATATACAGTTTGGAGGCATTTCATTCTTGTGCCTGTTCCTGTTACTTTCTGTTTAACTAGCCTGCTTGTTTTAGTATAGCTCCCCTTTTTAAAAATAAATGCTACTGTTGTGGGTGGGTTTACGTGGTATGTCTCCTTTACAAGGATGTTTAAATTTAATTACACTAAATCAAGAATTGCCTCTCTCCTTGTGGGTTCCAGGACTAGTTGCTCCAAGAAGCAGTCATTAATGGTGTCTAGAGTTTTTATCTTTGCATCCCATCCTCAGGTGACATGTACCCAGTCAATATGGGGAAAGCTGAAATGCCTCATTATTATTGGGTTTTCTGTTTTTTTAGCCTTTCTAATCTTCCAGAGTATTACACAGTCACCATCACCATGCTCGTCAGGTAGTCAGCAGTATATTCCCACTACTATACTCTTATTATTCAAGCATGGAATTTCTATCCATAGAGATTTGAGGTACCGTTTGATTTATTTAAGATTTTTACTATATTTGACTCTCTGCTTTTTTATCGTGTACTCTGCCATTCCCTCACCAGTGCGATCTATATTGTCATATTCATATATATTGTACCCTGATATTACTATGTCCCATTGATCATCATTCCACCAAGTTTCTGCTGATGCTTAGTAGATCAATATCCTCATTTAATACCAGGCACTTAAGTTAACACATCTTAGTATTTAAACTTCTTGTATTTGCGTATAAGTCCTTATAAAATTTTGAAAATATTTAGTTGTATGCCTTCATGGAATGTAATTGCATAAGACTCTTTTCATGTGACTTTCTCTTCAGCTCCTGCCTGTACTTCATCAACTTCTATTTTCTCCTCTTTGCTAGTATATAGAGCTTCTATATGAATGGTATTTTAAATAAATGTAACTTCAACTAGATAACACTTTTTGAGATTCAATTATTTTTTTAAATCCTAGAATGACTCAATTTAAATTTTTCTGTTGTAGACTATACTACATCTTAAAAGAGAATATTACTTTTTGAAACCAGATTAAAAAAAAAAGTCAACTATGTAAAAATATTTAAGCTGAAATCTCCAACACTGTGATAAATACTGCAATTGCAGGATGTTGCCAGGTCATTTTACTTCATCACAAAGCCTACATAACAAAAGAAAATGGAGACTTTTAGCCAAGATCACTTACCCATGAAGTTGAGATAACCCTCTCCTCCAAGTGCATGAGTAATGAGGCGAATCATTTTATGAAGCTGTATTCCACGATCAATAACCGGAGTGAGAGGTGAAAGCACACTCATATTTGTATACATCTCTGCATCCATCAGCCGAAACGCCAACGTCTTATCACCAACAAGGGCCTGGAGTAATAAAGGAATGGGGATGAGAGGGTGGAGAGGAGAATCCTCAATGTGCCAAAAGAGCTTGTTAGTATAATGTGTGTTCTAGATCAAGTGACAAGTACATTGGATTAACTATAATACATTACAAGAGTTACATTTTAGGAGCTTCAGAGAAAACAAGACAGGAGATGAAGATTACTTAATAAAGTATCTGGAACAACATTCAAAAGGGAGATTAACAAGGCTTCCAATTTAAGGACTCTTTAGTGAACAATGTGAATGCTTTGTGTACACACAGCTAAAGATATACAATTGTGTTTTTAGGATTTCAGCTCAGAGAGAAAAATTAGGCTTCCAATTCTATCTATCTGAAATCAGCAATTGCATGAAGCTATTACTTCTGTTCAAAGCAGCCTAGTTCAGTTACCCCTTAATATATAGTAGAAAATACTGCAAATGTTTCGTCTGTTTAGCTGAAGATTTCCATTTGACTTATTTTGGAAGGCCTTTCAAGTAGATTTTTCAAACAGGCTTACACATTCACTTGATTTATTGGTCCAGTATCAATTTTATATCCATTTATAACATTTAAGCCATTTATAAACTTAATTGTGTTGTTAAGTAGGTACTCAAAAATGGAAATCTGAATTATCAAAATAATCATCTTGTTTATAGATACCAGACAATGCATTTTTATGTAAAGATGATTTAAATACAATTCTGATTACAGTACTTTAAATCCCTTATCCATTTTAGTAGACTAGACAAAGGAAATCATCCCCTCACACAAAAAGAGTTGACTGCCATACAAACTCAGATTCTATAACAGAACAAAATGTAGTTAAGGGTAAGAAGGAAATCAAAATGAATAGTCCGTGTATTTATATAGTACATGTTAAATGAGTGTTTCAGAGAACTAGGTTTCAGTTAATTTTTGCATGTATTGTGTTTTATAAGCTACAATTTTCTTTTTTCCCCTCCCACATTTGTATTTTGTATTTGACAGAAAGGCTGTAAGAGAGACATGGTACTCAGCAAAATTAACTTGATAACTACTGTACTTCTGCCATAGAGTAAGTTTTAGTCAATTCTGTGGTTAGGGCTTCCTTTCTCTCAGTGTACAGGAGAACAACCACAGAAGTCTTTTGGATACCTATATGTAGAACAGAAATGAAAAAGCAGCCATAATATTATTTTGAAAATTCAAAAATCCATTGAAATGCTGTGTTGTGTAAATATTTCTCAAGATTTACAATACACTTGTAACATATGCATTACATAACTATAGCATTATCCCCATTTTACAGCTCTGGAAATGGACACATGCAAAAGTTAAGTGCTTTGACCCAAGTCACAAAGGGGGAAATTCTGGCCCCACTGAAGTCAGTGCAGTTTTGCCATTAATTTCAGTGGAACCAGGATTTCACACAAAGTGATTTGATGACAGAGCATAAACATAGGAAGATCACTTGCCGTGTCCACCAGATCAAGCAGCTGTTTCATGGCCGATGAAAAATGGCTAGTTTTATAGAAAGCATGTGTTTCAGATACCCCCAAAGCTGTTGCCTCCATAGTTTGTTACTGGTACACTAAATCTTTATGCATAGATAGCAGAGAATAGGGTATTCCTTCCATCAAGCACTGACTCTTATTCTAGAAAATAGCTTAGCTGGAACAAGAATATCAGCGAATCCGTTGAAGGAAAGATTACTTAATTTATTGTAAAAGAACCTTGCTAATGTCTATTCCTGTATAAAAACAATGTCCTATAAATGCTGACTAACCAGGTTTATTTTAGTACAGGTTTAAACTGCACATCCAAGGATTGATGCAAATATTCTATTTTGTGTGTTCACAAATACCTATAATTTGGGTTGAATCAGTCCAATTCCCATTTTATACTCTATTTTGAATTTTCATTTTCTCCTTTATACAATAGGTTGGGTAGTAAACGCCACATTGGAAAGCAAGCCATTTTCCCAGTAAATAAGTTCAAACTAAAATAATAAAAGGAAAAGCTTATCCTAATTTTCTCAGAAAAATGGATTTTTTAAAAAAAATGTCGGCCATCCAGTTATGATTTTTAAAGACTGACAACAAAAACACTGAAGCCTAAAGTCTAACATAGCTGTATAGGATATGAAAAACACAAAGAAAAAGCCCCACAAAAAGAAAACAACCCACAAAAAACAGTACGGGGTTTCAGTTTATCAGGGAAAGAGAGTCTGTCTAAACAAACTGGTTACTTCATTTGCATCACTGTCCATAGTTAACTCAAAAATATACTGTAGAAGACAGAACTTTGCAGAAGAATAAAAGCGATCGGGTTTTTTTCCAGTCTAAATTGTGTACGATTAACTATAATGTTCAAAACAAAATACTTTGCTATATGAGACAATAAAATTAACAGGCAGGGTCCAGTCCAAAATATGGAGAAAAAAAAAAGGGGGGGGGGCAATATTTAGTGATCTACATTAGGCAGCCATTTTTCCACATCAGAAATCCAGATGGGGATCCAACTTCCAAAGGAATGAATAATCACAAAATAATATGTCTTTTGCAGTAGAATCCACAGTCCCAGTCAAGATCAGGACCCCAATGTTCAAAGCACAGTGAGAAGCCCTGTGTAAAGAGCATCAGCTGGATTTAGACAGGGGAAAAACAACAAGCAAGCCAATAAGATGGGGACTTCTGGGTGAAAAAGGATATAGTGAAACTGGAAAAGGTTTACAAAAGAGAAACAAAGATAATCAAGAGTGTGAGACAGTTTCCATATGAGGAGAGACGAAAAAGATCAGGGCTGCTTAATCTACAAAGGAGATGATTAAAGAGGGATATTATAGAGGACTATAAAATCACAAAAGATGTGGAGAAAGTAAATAGGGCAGTGTTACTTATCCTTTTCCACAATACAAAATCCCAAGGTCATCTGATGAAATTAATAGATGGCAAGTTTATTGCAAACAAGAGGAAGTACTTTTGCACACACCACACAATTAACGTGTGGAACTTGTTGCCATGGGATGTTGTGAAGGCCAAAAACATAACTGGGTTCAAACAAGAACTAGACAAGTTCATCAAAGATAGGTCCTTCAGTGGATATGAGCCAAGACAGTCATGGATGTAACCCCATGCTCGGAGTGTCCCTAAATGCAGGAAGCCAGAAGGAGAAGACAGGGATGAATCACTCCAACACTCCCCTTCAACTCTGATACTGGCCACTGTTGGGAGACCCAGTACTGAGCTAGATAGAAAATTGGTGTGACCCTGTATGACAATTCTTATGTTTTTCAACTGAGGAAACTAATCAAATACTTAAAGGCGGCTTTCAAATTATATATAGCCTAGATAAAGCCTCTTTCAAAGTCTAAGAATTTGCTTCCATTAACAAAACAATTTTAAGAGATATGTTTGATGGATGAAAGACTCCAACATGTCCTACAAAAAGGTGAACCTTCATTTATGGTGGCTGTAGAAGGTGTATGGCTGGCCATTTTGGAATGTTCTCACTGGATACAAATATAAAAATAAAACATTTGCTGTACTCTGGGTTGTACAGTCTAGAGCGACCCAATCACATTTAAACAGGTTTAACTGGATTTGACCATGCGAATACATGGAAGTTAAAAAGCCAAAAGGCTGAAGATTATTATCGAAAACTTAAATACAAACAAAATCAGAACGTTCAAAAATGACTCCCAAAGCAATCTTATCTTAACTTACATTGTATTCAGCATACATAAAGCATACATTTAAACAGCATATGCAGTATTAGAGAGACTATTACATACATGCAAGTAAGCTGATGTACAGTTGCTGTGGGGCTTCTATTTACAGGACTTCGGTGCTTTGATGTTTTCAGACTTAATATGTTGCCTCTTCCTCTTTCACTCCCCAACCCCAAATAAAATTGTTAAAGAATGATTAACTAGAAATTAAATTAGCACCTGGTCCTGCAGCTCTTACACTGGTGATTCTTCCCCTTGAAGACAATGGGATACTCACCTGAGCATTGTTTGTGTGAATTAGGTTAAGAGGAGGACTCCAGGTGGTAAACCATATTTAAAAAAAAAAAGCCAAGATTGTCACAATTTTTTGGTGTTCCACTGGATTTGCCTTAACGAGGCCAGAATTTTCAGAGAGTGCTGAGCACTCACCCTGAAAGTCACGCCCCCTTTATAAAAAACTGTCCCAAATGGCACTGGGCACAGAAAAAAATCTTGACTATGGTATTCAGTTTTGAGCACTGACCTATGTGAAGTCTACAAATTTGTTCCTCCACACAGTTTTTAATCAAAATATTTATTACAGTACCTGATCATGGCTCTCTGCATATGCAATGTATTTCTCTTCATACCGCCTGTTTGTCAGCGTGTACACTATATTGCCCATATTCCAATCTTCATCTTTCAACTCTTTAATTATCTGTTAAAGGTAATTCAAACATTACTTTTGTTTCAGCTAAATTGCATTAAATATTTTTTCCATGGCATCTGGGGATTTGAAGTTTTCCCTAAATAGTAAAATGGTATTATTATTCTTAGTCACTCCTAATCTAAAAAAAAAAAACTTGGAGAAATGCGCTTCCCCTATTTGATCTCCCAAATAGGATTCCTTTCTGAACTCACTTTAATACTCTTTAGAATTTCTAAACCCATGTTTCATGTTTTTTGCCATATCAACTGCCAACTTTTGATTAATAACCATAGCATGTCAACATTATTTAAACTGATCTCTTTTCTGCTTTATAAAACATTAAGGGATACTTGGCACCATTTTAACAGTCGACTACATGGAGTAATTTTAGTGTTGAAGCCCTCACTCTTCTTTGTCATGCAATACTCCATAAGCCTCCATTGACTGTTTTTGTTGTAGTTTAACCTTAAAAAAGAAAATTATTTCTGAAGAATATCAATTAAAATGGTATATAAAAAAATGTCAGTAATATAACCGGGGAGTTTAACATTACATTATATAGTTAAAAAACATTGCAGCAGCCACCTGGCATGCAGTCAATGAAGTATAAATTAACACAGATATGTACACAGACTAACCTGCTGTTCCATGGTAAATAGTTTGATCACACAACAATGAGAAGATAGATATCATTACTCCAAAGTCACTAATTATAAGAAAATACTCAATAAACTGGGTTTGGCATAACAGAAGCATACATGACATATATCCTATTAGCTTATTTTTTGGAAAGAATATTTCTGCTTTATGAAAAAACAGATGTTGTTGTCCTTCCAAAGGAGTTAGGAAAGGAAACAAGCAGTAATTTAAAAAAGACCTATCACCTGTTCAATTGTCAGCAGCACTTGTTCAATTCAAATATCAATGTTCTCATACGCAATGTAAAGGCACCAAAAGGTACCTTATTGAAAAGTCAAACTGCTTCTTTGTCTCCAAGAGGCTGGTTTGCTTCTTACTGCTCTAGGGACCATCCATCATTTCCTACCCAAAACCAGCTGAAGAAAGCTGATGGAAAGAAAGCCCTAAGCAGCTCTCATTAGCACTGGCTGTTACTTGCTACTCGAAGTATATACTTACAGAACTTCATGAACATCAGCTAGGGCTTATTGGTAACATGACTTTCATTGGAGAAAAAAAATCCCACACACCTAATGTGGTTTACTATTGTGATTTGCAGAACACCACCTCTTCCCCGCCACACAGTTTTGTGAGTAAAGATACTAAGGACAATGAAAGTCACATTTTATTTTTCTTTAAGTTGCTCGCTTCTCTTATTGAAGCCATTAATGCTCATATGAAATATTTATTGCTTTATTGCCTTCAGATGGTAATGGTATCATTAGGGATTTGCTTCTAATCTTATGTCTAATTGAAAGACCAATTTTCTGAAGGGTCTGCCAGCCTTATGAGATTGTTTATTGTTTTATTCCTTTTCTTGTGATTCTCGAATTAAGGAGAAGGTTATTTAAATCCCTTTTTTATATGAACTGTTGGAGTTTGTTTAATGCATTATTGGTCTTTAAGCACATTTACAGTTTTTTACTCTTTTTATAAACATCGTAGTCGTTGTTGGTGTGTGGCACAGCATGTTCTTGTGCACATGTATACTTTTTTTTTTTTTTTTTTACTTTTTAAGTTGTGTGTTAGATAAAAATTGCTACATTCAACTTACAGAGGGCTCATTTCATTATCATACCTTGTACATAAATATAGGATTATTATATACAAATGCTTATTTCAATGTTCAGAGATAAAAAGAGCTGTTGCAAGAGATAGGCTTTTTGGATAGAACTTAAATCCAACAAAACTGTCTATGCTCACCATATAGTCCAAAGAAAAATAAAATCAACCCGAACACAAAGACCACCCACCAACCTCACACCAAGAGCCCCAGCTTGTTAAAGGGAAGGGCCTGAGCCATAATGGTGGAATGACTCCCAGTCCAACCTCTGGAGTCTTGGTTAGAGACTATGAAGATTTTTATAGGCCGGGGGATAGAGGGAAGGGGGAGCGGAGGGAACCACTAAAACTTAGAATCATAGAATATCAGGGTTGGAAGGGACCTCAGGAGGTCATCTAGTCCAACCCCCTGCTCAAAGCAGGACCAATCCTTTACCTTTGCTAAAAAGGAGGAAGCTGGTGAGGCAAGGAAATTCAGTCTGTCGTTATTCTCCACTTGCAGCGAATGCTGTGAAAATGAAAGGGTTCCGCCTCGTTCTGTTGCGGTTTTTGATGCGGGAAGCAGAGGCTGATAGAGAAGATTACCGAGACTGTTCCCAGTAAGGCAGAAATGCCAGGGAACCACTTTAGGATACCACACCCATTATAAAACAGAGGTGATAATAGCACATTAGCTTTTTGAAGCATTACTTATGCGTTCACTGTTCCCCCAAATGTGCAGGAGCTGTGTGGTTTGAAGAATATCTGTAAAGAGGTTTACAATGCATCCTACATGACAGAGTCTCTGAGTTGACTTGCATGACTATTTAGTTTTTTACAGCACGTGTATTTGAAATAGCACTCTCCTTCGGCTATGCTACACCTGCTGTTAAATAAGATTTATATGCAGCATACTCCTGATTATTGGAATAGCATGGGGGACGTGCATTTTATTTGGATAATTGGGAATTTGAATAATCAAGGGGGCAGGAATCATTCAGCAGTGGGGTGACCTCTTACGCGGCCAGGCGCTTGTCCTCTTTCTCGCAGGCCTGGCTGGGGGTCTCTGTTCTGCCCTGCTCACACATTTTCATGACAGTGGGGGTGCGCGGCTTGTGACACTCGATCCCTGCTACAGCATGGTGCGGGGGACAGCTGCGGTCCTGGCAAGGCAGAGCAGAGACCCCCAGCCAGGACTCAGCTCTGTCCTGCCAGGACCGCAGGCCTCCCTTCAGCTTGTGCCTGCAGGAATCGGATACTTCAAACTAATGGATGCGACAGAACAAAGTTACCTGTAGTATTTAGAAGGTTTATTTATATAAACACAATGGTGGAAAATACAAAAGTGAATATTGTTTTCTCACCTGTATCCATTTATCTGGAATTGCCATGGCCAGCCGATAATCAAATCCACTTCCTCCTTGGGCAATAGGGCAACAAAGAGCTGGCATCCCAGAAACTTCCTTGAATAAAGAATACATTGCATCATTATTTTGCTTTAAGTGGTTCTTTACATTTTCCACCCTAAGAAAGCTTCCTATTTAAAAATAGCATCAGATCTCAAGCTCCAAACATTACTGCTATACAAAGTCTACATGTGCAGAGCATACAATTACACTTTAATGTAATGCTGGTAGTTTCCGAGCTGAAGGTGTGACTCCCATCTTAAGGAGAGATACCCAATGCTAATTCTGAATGAGCTAGCGTGCTAAAGACAGCGTAGCCATGGGAGCGCAACGGGCTAGCCTCCCCAAGTACGTGCTCATCAGTGACCACAGAAATTTACTCAGGGCGGCTAGCCCTTCCCACAACTTTCACTGCCATAGCTACACTATTTTTAGTGAGATGAGAGCTAGCACTGATTAGCTTTTACTTTTTTTTTTTTTTTTTTTAAATATTACTTGGATGTATGTAAACTAAACATTCCAGTCAACCTGCTCTAACAATTAGGATATGCTCATAAAACTCAATCCCACATTCCATAACTTGAATCCAATGGGATAATTCCCTCTACCACTTCAATGCAAGAGCCCAAGGAATGGAGAATCAAAAACACGGATTGAAATTCTGATCAGCTTTGTTCTCTCCCTTAAAATGTAATTCAAGCTTGTGAATGCATCATTTATTGAATGCACCACATAACTGGTCACTTTCATCACATAATATTGTTTCTGAAGGGATGGCCCCCACTTTATAAACAGAAGAAATTTCCAACCCTTCAATTACGACATATCTATAAACATTTGTAATTTTTTTTAAACTATTGTGTGAATAAAAGATTTTCAAACAAGCTGTAGGAGTATTTAGAGCACAACTTTTGCAGTGTGAGCACACATTTTGCCACATTCAAAAAAATAACCAATATAAGTTGCATTTCAGTTGCAAAAAGATTGCAAATGCCTTTTTGCTACATTTGATCTACTCTAGGAGAAAGTTGCCCCAGTTCAGAAGATCCAGGTGCATGGTATATGGTTATCGAGGACTTTGCATGGGGATTTTTCACTTTGTTTTTAAACACACTCTTGTGTCTTCTATTTGGTATTTTCTGTAGCAGATTTGAGAGAAAGTCTGTGTGTGGATGTTTTTATTTAAAGACAAATGTAAGGAACCCTGAAAGTGTTAAATTGGTTGACAAAAGAGTTTCTACACTAGTCACAAGATTTTCTACACTTCTGGCTTCTCCCCACGTGGATACCTTCTATAAGGTGAATAAGACCAATGAGGTCCAGGGAAGTAGTTCTCCCTTCCCAAGCAGTTAAGGCAGTGTGCAGGAGGGGAGTCCAACAGCTCTCCTAATTTGGTCAGGCACATGGCATTTACAGCTGCTCACCCGTGCTGAGATGTGCAGGGCAGTCTCTGGTAAGTTCCTGACAGCATGATGTTCTGAAGTCTATGAGATCAAGGACCATGTTTCTACGAGGCTTTGAGCTTTGCCAGCCAAACAACTACCATTCTCTTTCAAGCTAATTTCTACAGTTTTAAGTGCCAGAATTTTTAAACATAAAAATTTGACATAACTTATTTGTCTACTTCAGTGGCATAAATAGAAACATTAGTGATGAATACTAACTTTGTTCACATTTTTAAACTAATAGCCTATGCATACCACTGTGTTTAGATTTACAGGCAACTCAAGTTTGAAGGGTAAAAACTCATTTGTTAGTTGGAGTGGAGCAATACATTAGATATCAGCCCTAAAATTTCACAGAGAAGTCTGATGCTTTCCTACGCCTGAAACTACTAATGGATTTATTCGTAGCCTTCCAGAAAAATCAATGTTTCACCTGAAGTGTGTGGTGTAATTTTGGTTATTACTATTTGTTTTCATTATTACCCAAATCATTTAATTTTCACTTTAAATGAAAGGCTGAAGGAAACCTTAATCATCCAACCACTACCTAATTCTACACTGTACTCTTGTCTGGCAGCAGTGTTTCTGTCACCCTGAACTGTGTGAAACAAAGAATAGAGGACACTGGCAGCCTAACAGGCTGGTCCCAGTAGCACTATTTGGGGTATCACAACTTTTATTAGCACCAAAAAAGCAGAGCTGCTGGGTAACCAGCTATCCAGATGTAAGGCATATGTATAGGTAAATTTTATTTTTTGACGGCAGGAGTTAAAGGGTTCTGTCAAAGGAGGAATCTTGGACATAGAAATTATATCTAGAAAGCTAGATGGGGAATACACAGAAAATTCTTTACTTAAAGCAATCAGACAACTCTTCAAGGAGTGTACAACAATCTGTCATACTCTAGACAAAACCTCTCTTCTCTCATGAGGAACTTATTCAACTGTCATTACTTTCAAGCACAAATTCATGACAGTCATTTTAATTTAAAATCATATCAGTAGTTCCTCCACCCCAATTTCTTTCTATCATTAGCATGTGGCTCAATTCCACATTTTGTATATAGACTCCCCCTAGACAGAAAAATGATGTATTGAATTGAAGAAGTTTTCAATTTAAAGAGAATAAATTGAAGACCAATCTTGTTTAAAAAGAATCTTAAACCAGATAATACAAACAGGCTGAATTCAAAGTTTCATCCATAGGAATGTGGATAATCTGACTATCACTCCCTAGATGATGGACCAATTTTATTTGAAGTGAACCGAAAGATCAATATTGCCACCTTAAGTTTTATATATCAAATAATTGCTTCTTTTCATCAGTTGCTATTTTTGATACCTGATGTCATTAAGCTCTTAACAGCACTTTGGTATACAGCTGTCAGTTATATATTAGAATGCCACATACAACTGAAATTAGCCTTATTTTGTTTTCTGAAGGCTGAAATTGGAATTCTTAATAAAATAGTGTGGATTAAAAAATAGGCCTTCACATTCCTCATGACATATCAGATCCATCCTGCATCTTGCACGTGTCTTTTCTAGATGGCTGGAAGGAGAAACACAAACAACAAACCCAGATGCATTACACAGTACTATTATATTAACAACAAAATTCTTAAAAGCTTGGAGTTTCTTTTTCTTAACATAAAAACACGTCAGTGAAAAACGCCCAACAGTCAATTAACAGAAATTTACTGCTTTGGCGTTTCATATTACCATTAGCTATTCTGCATGCCAACAATAATCTTTTGAGGCCAAAACCAGACCCTTGACAAGACTGACGAGGCCTTGGCATCAGGGGCAGCCAGTACTGTTTCCATACAGTTTCCATACAGACTGCGGCGTACGTATGCCCAGCGAAAGACGGATGGCCCAAGTGTCCTCTAATGCATGCAGCCTCGCATCAGTTCCAAAAAGAGATCATTCCAATCGAATGGGAGGTCCTGGAAAAAGGTCTGCATCTCTTGGGATAAGGCCGGCAGTCTGAAGTCAGGAGCTACACCCTCATGACCACCATCAATGCGATCACCCTAGCTGCTGAGTCCACCACATCCCAGACCATCTGTAGAGAGCTGCCGTGGTGCCCTTCTCCATCAGAATGCCAAATTCCTGGGCCAGACCCTGAGGGAGGGACTCCATGAATTGTTGTACTTGTGCAGGGGGGCCTGATGGTTCACCGCCTGGAATTGGAGTTGAACTACTGTGCCCCTCCTTGTTCTTTTCATTGGCCACAGAGACAACCAGTGAGCCCGGACGTGGGTGGATATAAAAAGGTACTTGAACCCTTTGGCCGGGACAAAGTACTTCTTTTCGACCCTTTTGGAGGTGGGAGGGATGGACGACAGGGTTTGCCAGAGGACCGTGGCAATTTTCAGGACCCTATCACGCACTGGTAGCGCCACCCGTCTCGGAACAGGGCTTAGAGGACATTGAACAAGGTGTCTGCTTGCTCTGTCATCTCATCCATCTATAGGCCAAAGTTCTCGGCCACCCCTCAAAGCAGGGCCTGGTGTTCCTTAAAATCGTCCAGACGGCTGGCCCTCAAGGGTTCCACGACTGCCTCATCCGGGGATGAAGATGATGACTGTACCTCCAGGGGCATAATCCCCCACGGGAGAGGGGAGTTTTGGGGTGGGCGCTGTCTCCTTTACCCCAACTTCCAAGCGGGTCTAATGCACTGAGCCTGGTGCTGTTGATGATGCCAGTGTTGCTCTGAGGCAGCAGCAGATGAGCGATGCGAAGGGGGCATCGTCACCACCAGCATGCCCCACACACTCCACTCCAGTAAGGCCACTGGCCATGCTGCCAAGGTAACGCCATAGACATCGATGAGGCCTCAGATGCCCATTTGCGCCGGTGAGGTCTTAGCAAGGGGCTGAACTGCCCTTCCGTGCCAGAGGAATCCCCTTCCAGTGACCACGGCGAGGCTATTGATGTCCGTGTCTGACTGTTGCTGCCGGACACCAGTGTTTGGAGTGAGAGGATCGGTGCCAATATCAAGGGGACTGGGGCCGGTGGGACCGGAATCATGACAGGGAGCGCTCCCATGGGGCAGGCAACCAAGATCTGCACTGAGAGGATAACTGGAGGGAGGGCAAACGGTGCCGGCAGAACAGAGACCAGAGCCTCCCCCAAGGCGATCCATGTAGAGATGGCAGGGACTGCGATCGCAGTGCCGGTGACCAAGAGTGAGCCCCAGAGGATCTGGGCTGCGATGCTGGAGATCTGCAGCACAGAGATGGAGAGTGCTGCCTTGTTTCGGGGGATCAGCGGTGTTCTACTGCCTCCTGAGGAGTCTTAGCAGCTGGCTTGCCCTAGTATGGAGCCTGTGCCAGCAGCGTGGGCCTATGCTCACTCAGTGCCGGGGGAGCTTGGGAAAACGTTGATGCCGTCATAAGTTTGAGTCCCCTACCGCTCCCAGGAGTTGGTGGTGGATCCTTTAAGGGGCTAAGGGCCCGGACTGAGAAGGCACATCTACGTGGCTGCGGAGTGACTGGGTGGGCCGAACTGGGTCCTTTGCCTGATGCCCCATGGCCTTTCTTGCCCAGTGCAGAGGAGCCATGCTTCTTCATTTTCTTTCTGGCCACCGGTGATAGGGTGCAGTGCTGGGAGGGGCCAGGTGCTGGGGGTGCGGTGTGCACCAAGGCTGAGGTATTAGGCGAGTCTTGGTGGGATGGCTCAGAAGCCGGATGGAGGGCAGCCTCCATAAGGAAAGCCTGCAAATGAATATCCCACTCTGAGTCCTGGATCGAAAATTTTTACAACAATGACACTTCTCCTTCACATGTGATTCCCCCAAACACTTCAGACTGCACTTGGGTGTCACTTACAGGTAGAGGCCTGTTACAGTCTGCTCAGGGCTTAAACCTCGGAAAAAGGGGCATGCCCCACCAGGAGCAAAGTCCCCGCTGTGACTAACTCCTAACTACACTTAACAACTGCTTAACACTAACTACTATCAACAACTATTTACAAATCCCTAATGCTCAAAGTCAGAAGCGACAAAACCACTAGCCCTTGCTATGCAAGGAAAGGCACCTCAACTAACCACCCCGGGCAGTAAAAAGGAACTGTGAGGGAACAGGGCTGGCAGCGCCTGATATACTGATGCATGAGTGCGACACCCAAGAGGGCACCATAGCTGGCCCTATGGACACCGCTAAGGCAAAAACCTCCAACGACCAGGCACATGGGTGCGCACACAACTAGAATGGAATCAACATGAGCAAGCAGTCAAAGAAGAATCCTACTTACTCAGGAACCCAGACAATTTTAATGTTAAATCTAAATTAACCTAAACATTTAAGAAACTTCAAAATTTATCATATTTAATCACAGAAGGGAGTTATCAATTATGCATATATTGAATTATATCAGCACAGTCTTTGGGACTGTGAATTGTGAACATTTGGTACCATGAATAACTAGTCAACATTTGGCAATCATAGAGCAATAAGCAAGCAAAGCGAAGCAATGATATCTAAACTAAGAACCTTCATACAAGCTAACTCACAGCATCCGTACTGTCCCACCAATGTAGAGAAAAAACAACATTAATACTTAATTCTCCCTTCTCCCCGCCCCAACACACAGATAATTGCATGGAGGAGGAACCCATCCACCCTTAGTATTTATCTGCTGATATTTTTCTTTAACAAAATTGTCACTAATAATTAGCAAGTAATGTTCACTACAACGGAAATTGATTCATGTTAAATGATGTGACATATACAAATAACTCTGAAGGAGTTGTAATAAAGACCGAATGACATTTCACGAGTACACTTATTTACTGATACTACAACCTTTTACTCACATATAAAGAAATAGCTACACTTAATATTACCTCAGCTACTGTTATGGATTCTGGATGCAATAAATGAATCATGTGGTTGGCCATTATTAGATAAATGAGGGCATCTTCATCTACGTGTAGACCAAAATATTCATGGTAATCTCCACTGAAGCCTGTACCTAGTGACCAAAAAAGATAAAGACCCCAAATACAGTGAGTCAGATTTACAAGTGTAAAACTTAAAAAAAAAAAAAAAAAAAAATCCAATAATCCATTTAATCGCAGCACAGCAAAAGATTAACAAATTTGCTATTTTAAAATAGCTTAAACGAAGGTCTATCCAGTTTATCTTTTTGTTATTACCATTTCCTGAAAAGTACTACAGTAAGACCAAGAGGCAGGGTGTTCTTTAATTAAAAAGTGGACTGATTAATCTACTTACCAATTCCATGATTGTGATATAGCATAGATGTAACACCATCAAACCGGAAGCCATCAAAGCCATATTCTTCTATCCACCATCTCAAATTAGAGAGAAGGAATCTCAGAACTTCCCAACTAGAATATTAATAGGAACAATTTCTAAAGTTTAAGACATGAAAATATATGAAGTTTCCAAACACAAAGTATTCTCTACTTAATACTTGTACCAGCCATATTCTACTGGATGTTGTTCCATCATAATGGATACATTAAACAACGTTCTTCATTGTTTTTCCATACAACATTTCATTCTACCAAAACAATTCTCATTTTAACAGCATGCAATTTTAAGATGGAGGAAGTTAGGCTAAATTTGGTTTAGGAAAGACTAATCCAATACAACATCCATGTTACTGTTTAATCTAGATATTCATTCCTACTACTTTTATTTGCTTCTCAAAATGTGGTTCAATCCAGTGAAATATGGTTTATGCTGTATTTGAAAAATCAGAACCAAAACTTCATACTAGCCAAGGCTTAGCTCTAAAGTAAATTATACATTTCTGTGATTTGCAGATCAAAAGGAAGCAAACATCTCACATTAAAAGAATTTTTAAAACTCATTTTTGGCATTTGGAAGAAGAAAGCTACCAATAAATATACTGTTAACATTAGGTAGTCTTGGATCACAGGAGTTGCTTCAAGAATTTAATATCACTTACTGTAGTATTATTAAATGTTACACTTTTTGCTAATTTAAAAAATAAGACAGCAATTAAATGTTTTGCATGCAACTAGTGGTGGACTGTGCTTTTTTAGAACTAAGTATTTTAAATGGGGATTTTTACTTTAAAGGATATTTTCTGAATTACACAACAGTTATAAAAAGAAAAGGAGTACTTGTGGCACCTTAGCCACAAGTACTCCTTTTCTTTTTGCGAATAGAGATTAACACGGCTGCTACTCAAACAACAGTTATAAATCACTCCTGAAAGCACCATTTCCAGTGGGAGTTCAGTTGAGCATGCATTAGTGTTTCACCTGTAGAGACTTGCTACAAGTTCACAGAAAAAGTAATTTGGCAGTTTCTATGACCACTTCTGATCTTATTCTATCTGGTTGCCTAATACACAAGACATTTTCAATAGAATAAATTATCACTAGTGGGGGAAATAAATATACGAAAACAAGAGCTGAAACTGGCTTGAAAGAACAAGGGAAATTACTAGGAGAACCAATATTTAAGCTTATATAGGCACAGTAAACAAAAAAGTTTCCCTCACTCTCTAATGATAGCTCCTGTATTAGGGATACTCTCCCCCATGGTACCTTCATCAGAGAAACCTACAGCTTGGCTCCATTATTCACTCTCTCTCTGATGGAAGCCTGTGCCTTTACACTACATTCTCTTCCCCACAGTCCATTCATCAGGCCAGCCTTGAACATCTTTCTTCCTCTCCAAGCAAATAATCCAACCAGCCTGCTTGTCTGATTTATATTCCATAAACTTCTTTGGCAACTGTCCCTCATAAAGACTAACTTTTTCTTCAATATATCATTGACTTGGGGATGGGGGAGGGTTAAAATCACTAAATAAAGAATAAAGTTGGTAGGCAAGAACATGCTGTAAGCTAAATAATTAGACTGGAGAATGTTGAGATAAAAATGTGTAAATGAATGATTAGTGATGGGAGACACTGTGATACAGGAGGACCAGGGAGCAGTGGGAGAGTGCAAGAGGCAAAATATATAAGCTCAAGGCTAATTAAGGCGTGGTTCCCTGTAGACTAGGGAAGGTGGCTGCAGGTTAATCGGAGCACCTGCAGTCAATTAAGGCCCTGTTAGGAACCTAATAAAACCCCCTGCATTAGGCAGACAAGGGAGGAGGAAGAGGGAGATAGGAGAAAGGACTGGAGCTTGGAGGGGTGTTGAGAGATTTGGAAGACCTGAGAATTGGAGTAAGGGAGACTGCCCAGCAGGACCGGGAGACTCCCTTCCCCCCAGCATCTAAGGACCAAGGGTAACCCCACCTAAAGGGGACGAGCGTAAGAAACCCACAGGGGTTGCGAGGGGCTGTGACTCAGAGCAAGGAGCAAACCCAGACCCCTCACCCACTTCCCTCCTCTACCACCTTCCCAGGCTAGTAGCGGGGCCCTCGGCACCCAAGAGCAGGGGCAAGGGGCGGTATCTTAGCTCCCCGCCAAGAAAACCGCAAGACCCACCAAACTAAAATTGGCCATCTTGCTACAACACAGAGAAACAAAATTAAGTGATACATTTTAAACACAAGATAGGTATTGCCTGGAAAAACCTGAGGTTTTAAGAAGACTTCTGTGAAGAGTATCAGTGAGGAAAATATCAGAAGTCATACTATCCTTTAGAGACATAGGAAAGAAACAGCGATGAAGTTGCCATCTGTACTTTAAAGTGTTTGGAGAGTTTCAGCCAATACCAGTTCCCAGGATAATCAGAAAGGTTGAGTTACAGAAGGATGAAGCTATGTAATTTGAGGTCACTGGACACACTAACTTTAAAACAAAACAACAACAAAAAAACAACAGAAATTGACAGAAAAAAACCCAGAGGGACAGGATGGTAACTGAACAAATGGAATGTTCTTATAATGTAGCATTCTTTTGCAGCAGGTACATAAGCCAAGAACAGCTTCCATAAAAATTGCAGCATACACACTTCAAAGCTTCATGACAGTCTGGATATCACCAGTAAACCTCCATCTCTTGAATCTTCAATCTCTGCAGACATAGTCCAGACGACCTTGGAACCAGTATGCTCACACTGCATTGGGGTAGTTTGCCAGAGAGAACTCCACACCACCTACATGATGCTTAACAATGTTCTAATCTGTGCTACTGCAAAGGTGGAGTATGCCAAGTGATCCACATCTACACAGAATCCACTAGAAAACCCACCTATGCCCACATAGGGTTATGGATAGTATAAAATAGTAGAACCAATGGTTTTCAATCTGGCTTTGACGTGGAACTGTTGTATGGAAGAAAGGGGAACATATTACATGACATACCCCTAATCACATGGAATCACAGTATGCAAACCCATATTCTGTTTTTGCACTGTGTGAAATGATTTGGCCTTGAGAGAGTAACATTGTTTATTCAAGTAGAGTTCATTAAACAATTCATTACAGTATCTACACTTTCTATTATTTATTATTTTATTTTTGTGTACTTCATGTATGCTAAAAATGTGCATGCAGAGAAAAAGGTTCATAATACCTGGCAGTATTAGAGCAGTTACCATTGAAATCCTCACTTGAGAAAACATTTGTGCCAATTACCTCTAGAGTCCCTATTTCCTATTATAGGAAATATAGCCAATACCACTAATATTATTGACTTGCAAAAACAACTCTTTTAATATGACTCCTGTTAAAATTGCCAACATTTTTAAATGTCTTACAATGTTAAGGAGGATATGGGGCAAGGGAAATAGTTGGTACCTGCTTTATCTATTTATAATATAAAAAGATTACAAACTTATTCAACAATTCTATATATTTGGGTCTCTCTCCCCTCCCCTCTCCTGTGTCATTTTTTCCTGCAATTGAGTTCTTCGCAGGAGGAACTACCTTGGCATATTTTTGCACCATGTCAACAGTCAAAGGGGCCCCTATCTTGTTTGATGCTTCTGAGTTCTAAGTAATATAAAATACTACTAAACATTTTCCAGACGAATTTCTGCTAATGTCAAATGTATCTTAAATTCTTAACCCCTAGTATTTTCCCCCCTTACTCTTTATGATAATTTGCTATCACATCATCTTCAAGCTGCCTTTTTAGACTAGATCTACGCTACATGATCTTTTTGCTGAACTTGATTAGGTTACATTCATATTGCTATCTGTGTAGAATTCATAATATTAGAAGTAGGCAAGAATTTTTTCTCTTTGAATTGTAGCAGTGATGCTGATATATCAAAAGACTTGTAAACTGCTGTGAACTTTGCACTGCAGGTTATGTTTTAATTTTTGATCTTTTAAACACCTAGAACACATAAAATAAAATAGCTGTGAAAACCAATGCAACACAAGTACCTTGTATATTACATATCCTTCTATTTTAAACCAAATCTTTCCACACTCCCACATAAAAGAAACTTTCCATATATGAATCAACTCCCATAAGACTGCTCAAATGCATAAAGTTAATAAAATGCATAATACATTTGAGGAACCAGGCCTTAATTGGTAAGTTCCTGGAACCAAGCCACAGGAAACATTTTTGCCTGTAGCCTGTTTAAAATTGTGACTAAATTACCAAAATTCAGGGAATTGGAAAATTAAGGTTTCAATAGCAATGCTAGCTCAATTACATTGCACAATCTATATAATTTATGCTACATATTTTACAATATTAACAATTACAATATTAATGAATATGTTAAGTGACACATTTACACTTCAATCCTGCAATGCACTGTGTCTTTGCAGAGCCATACAGAAGTCAATTGGGTTATATTGGGCCGGCCTGCCTGCCCATATACAGTGAATTCCAGGAGCACGCTCTTACACACAAACAAACCAGAAATAAATAAATAAATAATATATATACACTTACCGGTGCACTAACCTCTCCTTTGATTATAAATTCCATTTATTTTAATGGCACGTCCTTAGAGCTATCTTTTTCTTTTTGCTAAACGATTTTTTTTTTTTTTTTAAAGAAGAAAATCTTCAAGGCTGCCTAAGGTGCTTAAAATGTTACAACACACTTTTAAAAAAAAAAAAAAAAATCTACAGCAGCATAAAGCTGCTAAAACACACTGACAAGCATACTTTTATTAAACAAAATGAGCTGTTTATAGTCCTCAAAGTCTTCCAATGTGCACTTATTGAGTACAAATAAACCAGACGGATACGCGCAGAGCATCTGTAAGTGTGAAGGTAGGCTGCATCTACACTGAAACCAGGGATGTAATCTGAAGTTTGAAGACATATCCAAACTTGCTTTAATCTAGGAGCATGGCAACACTTGCAGAAGTAGAGTCCTATGAGTTGAATCCGCCTTCATACAGCACAGTAAGGAAAGCGCTGCAGTCTGTCCACACGGACAGCTGTAAGTGCACTGGCGTGGTCACATATGCAGGACTGGCAGGTG